GCCAAAGCCCCACCAAAATTGCCCTCATCTGCGAGACCTTCCCTGACTTCCTAGGAGCTTACCCATTCCTCCACTGTGAATCCACAACATCCTCTATAAACACCTACTAGAGTCCTTATTGAATGATATCCTATGTCTTTCTGTCTCAATCTGTGAACTCTTTTAGGGAAGGCATTGCATCATTTTGCCCACCGTATCCTCCTGTGCTGACAGCTTTGCCTGGTGTGTAGTACGTGTTCCGTGAATGGATTCTACTGTGCCCGATAAAGCTCCTTATACTGTCAGTCACGTAGTGGGTCTCTTTGTGGTATGGAGGAAAGGGTCATTAAGCGCCAGAAGCTGTTGGACTACAAATTTTCTCCAGTTGAATTCCGTGAACATTTATTAAGCACCTACAGTGTGCCACACACTGTGCAAAGCTCCGGGGACTGCAAAGACCACAGGTTCTGTTGCTGAGAAGCTTAATCCTTCCTATACAAGCAAGAAAAAAAAATCTTCCTAAATAAATAAAGTTCTGGTAAGGTCGTACTGTCCCAGCTCAGAAACTTTGATGGCTCTTTACTGCCCATTAGAAAGAGGAACACACCTGGGTCTTTGCTACAAGCGTCTGACACCACGTGGTACCAGCCTTCTTTTCCGGATTTACCTCCGTCCCCTCCTCTGTGGGACAGTGAGCTGGACAGCTCCCCACGCCTGGGCGTGTCTTCTTTGTCCATTTAAAAATGACTTGTAAAGGCAGGTGGTCAGTTGGGGAGGACGGAACTAGGGCGATTAGCTTGCTGGGGTAAGTGGTGACGTGCATGGGGTGCTTGCTGTCTCTCTGCTGGGCGCTGGCCAAGTGCTCTCTGTTCCCTGTACACGGTGGTATTTTTGCTCCCTGAAACTCTGTAAAGTAGTAACACTATTTCTGTTTTACTTATGGGGAAACTGAGGCTCAGAGAGTTGAAGTTCCTTACTTGAAGTCATGCAACTTTAACTAGAAGAAGTAGGACTTAAAACCCAGATGTATGAGTGCTGTGCCACCCTGCTTTTTCTTTCTTAGTGTACAGGCAAAATTTTAAGAATTAAAGGAACCAAGTGGCTTCCTAGTGTGTGTGTGTATGTGTGTGTGTGTGTGTGTGTGTGTGTGTGTGTGTGAGAGAGAGAGAGAGAGAGAGAGAGACATCCATGCACACACGCAGGGCATCAAGAGACTTTCCTTTTGTGTGTAATGCCTCCCAATTTATCAACATGTCTCCTCCATGCATTCCAAGCTATTTCAGAGGGTCATTGAGTTGGGAACACCTACTCATACACCAAAACCCAGCTAAAATTGCCCTGGTTAGAGAAAAGAGAAAACCAAACTGGTTAGGATGCTGCCAGTAAGCCTGACTCAGACGATTCTCCATAGACTTCCTGCTGGGGGAGGCAACCACTGCAGGGCACCTTCCTGGGGTTACCTGGAGCTCCACCCCGTAGCCAGTGTAGACTGTCACGTTGTACGTGCACTCCAGGAAGCTGCTGAAGGGCAGCGGCGGGTAGTCGCTGGAGTCGATGTACCCCTCGGGGTCGGAGAAGCTCACACTGCAGAGAGCTGGAGGGAAGCACTTTAATTAGGACACCAGGAACAGCTCGCAGGTGGGCTGTAGGGCAGGATGGGGTCTCGAGGGGGACCTGTATTTTCCTGTCCCCGCTTCTCCCACTGCTAATTCTTCAGCTCTAGAGTCGACACGCTAATAAAAAAATCACAACAACGGACACGGAATGACCCCTGACTATATCCTGCTGGGCACCCTCTAGCCAGGTTACAGGGGTGGTCCCATCCATGCTCACGGGGCTGACATTTCATCCCCATTTCAGAGGGAAGTAAACGGAAGCTCAGAGAGGGCGGTGTCTGGGCCAAGCTCACACGGTGAGCAGGATGCTGACCCAGGCCTCACGTTCTTTAATGGGTGGCCACATCGCATTTGTCCAAAATCCACACATGCTTGACAGCTGGGGGTCCCTCTGTCACATTTGAAGATGGAAGGAGAGACAGGAGAAGAAAGACTGGAACACGGAAGTGCATTTTATTAAATCTACAGAAATACATGTGACGGTAAAAGCCAAAGCACTTTGAAAAGGCATGTTCCAAGATTAAAAGGTTTAGAATCTCTCCGATTAGCTGTGTGGTCATGAGCAGGTTGCTTGGGGTCTCAGGGACTCGGTTGTTTCATCTTTAAAATGGGGATGTTGATTCTGAGCCACAAGCCAAGCTGACAGTCAGTGCTCAGTGCGTGGGAACTAACGGAGGGCCTGGGCTTCCCGGGACCCCGGCACCCCCAGGCGCTCTGCACGGTGGGGGCCGGGATGGGGGCTGCGTACCTGGGGCCTGCTCGGTGGTGATGACCGTGGTGGTGATGATGGTGGACGTGGTGGTCTCCTGGCTCTCCTCGGATGCTGACCCGGTCAGCTCGTTCTCACCTTTGTCGGTCAGGGTCACGGTGCTGGCGTCCTCCGGGGGGGCCTCCTGGGGGAGGGTCTGGGCGACATAGGGCTGCGAGGTGAAGGGGGAGATTTGCAGGGGAGCCGGTGTTGTGGGCACCGCACCTTCCTTCTGCTCCGGCCAGAGGGGCACCTCCGACGCCTCCTCGGAAGGGACGACAGGGTCTGGGTCCCCCGGTGGGCGGGGCTTCCCTGTGGACGAGGAGAGGAGACCCGGGTCCAAGGGCGCTGGCTGGGACCCCGCCGTCTGGACGGTGGCTGCGGAGGTGGCTTTCGGCTTCAGCTGCTTCCTGGCCGAGTTGACCTGCTTGAGAGAAGGCGGTTTCTTCCTGGGGGACGAGGTGTGCTTGGTGCTGGCCTCCTCCGGGAGCAGCGGCGACAGGGCCGGGGTGTCGTGGTGTGCGGAGGGGGCTGTCCCCTCCAGCTCCGGCTGGCCCAGCTCTTCCCCCGACTGCGTGGGATGCGGGGGGGCCGTCGCCACTCTCTCTCTGGGGCTCTCTCTGCCCAGGCCACTGCTCTCCAGGGCTCCCGAGGGCAGGAGGTAAGGGCCGGAGGGGCCGGCGTCTCCCTCGGGGCCAGCATCTTGGAAGAGGAGAGAAGACACCAGTTAGCTTGGGGGATTTAGGACCTCCACCTTCTGCCGGACTCCAGGGTGGCCCCAGGCTTGCCAGGCGGGACTCTAAATCCCTTTACCCTCCCTTCCTTCCTTCCTTTTCCTGAAGACTTAGGGTTGATCATGCCAGAGTTGAGCTAAGCATTGGGACCATGGAAGCCAAGGGCCCCAGGTCCAGTTTTATATGTACGGTTGGGAGTGGGGCGGCAGGGACAGGAAAGTAGAAACAATCCTATTTGATATGATAAATGCTTGGAAAGAGAAAAGCTTGTGTGCTAACAGGACAGAGAGGATGGACCCCTAACCCAGTCTTCAGGACAGGACTGCCACATACAGCTGCACAGGTTGTTCATTGTACAAAGACATCCAGCTAAGAGAATGAGTGGGGATGTAAACCAGGCCACACTCTCTTCTTTAAGCCCCGTGCTCTGGCTCATGGTTATATTGTCCCAGGCTCTGGAAGGGGGCAGATACTTTTTTATGAATAAAATAATATAAAAGTGACCTTGTGGGAGACACAGAAAGATTTGAGGATTCAGAATCATGAGGCAGATTCGGAGCAGAGGAATTCGTGAAGACCTATGGAGGCCGGGCTGAAGTGGGTGCAAAACAGAAATTGCGAGGGGGCAGGGAGCACAAGGTGGGGTGATTAGGGACAAAGCTGGTGAGGTAGGGAGGTAGGGCCAGGCCTCCTATACCTTGCTAATTCCTTGTGACTTATTTTAGTCTTGAAAGTAGAACCATCCAGCTGTTTTAAAGGAGGGCTGGCCCAGGCAGCTGTCTGGCGGAATGGTGCTTGAAATCAGCTCTGCCTACGTTTTAGAGACCCAGTTCTGCTGATGGCTGGTTAATGGCTTCACTGTCTGAGCCTCAGTTCCCTTAGCTGTCAGAGGGGGCTGTTCTTCCCCGTGTCCTGGGGTTGTCATCACTGGCTCAGCTGATGTATGCAAAGCGCTTAGCACGGCGCCTCGCCCATGGCGAGTGCTTGGTACGTGCCAGCGGCTGTCACGGTTTTTACTGCTCTCGTTGCAATCACAGCCCCTCGATGGGGAGCTGGAGCAGTCTGAGCATGCCCAGCGATGATCTCTAGCTAGAGAGGAATGACATCGCGGGGACAGAGGCGCTCAGACTGATAGTATCCTTGTCGATTTTCTGCCGAGAGACGCTTGCGCAGCCACAGTCTCTGGGCCCTTCAGTGCTGTCATTTAAATTCATTTCAGCAGCCGTTGGAAAGGCTCATTCACTTTCATGGAGTTGGCGGCAGCCGCTTAATCTATATAGACTGCAACTGTTCGCAACTGGCGTCAACGGACGTTCCTGTTGCGTAACATCGATTACCAGCCAGCGTTCCTTCCAGGCCGCTGGTGGCACTGGGGCAGGAGCCGGTATGGGGAGGAGAGGGTATGCGGATGACACAAGGGCGGGTCAAGGTTGTTCAGGGGCCAAGAAGGTTTCCTGGTCCAAGGAGGGCAGCACTGAGGCTTCAGAGGTAGACCTGGGTTCAAATCCTGCTGTTCCATTACGAGCTGAGTGAGCCTGAACAAGTCCATTAACCTCACTGAGGCTCAGCAGCCTCTTTCGTATAATAGAGATATCCTGTCTACCTCAGAGGATCAGATCGATGTGGATCTGCCCCAAAGCGGTGGATTTTATGCTCACTGTCACTTTTATAAAATGATTGATGTCGACCATCTTTGTAGGCTACGGAGTGAGAAGAAGATAATGGGACAAAAAGAGAAGAGGGTAACGGGTAGGGACATCGAGTTCCCAAGACCCAGCTGTGGTTTGATGCAATGAGCTTGGAGGCAACCAGGGGGTGGGGGACCTGGGTGGTTGTCCTATGTTGGTCACTATTCACTGTCATACCTTTGCATGGGTCTCCTCTGCTGTCTTCTCTCTCCGTGTGTCAAAATGGGGGGGCGGACTAGACATGATGTAAGGGCCCTCCCAGCTCTGACACTGTTGGTTTTTGAAACGAGCAGGAAATTGACAATTATTCTTGGAGCCATTTGTTAACCCTGCTAAATAAGGCTAAGTGACGGCTAAATCCTGACAGTGCCTGGTGAGCTTTGTTGGGTCCTGTGGTCAGCCAGGGTCTCCTCACAAACATGGCCCCATGATCACAGGGAGGATGAGACAGAGAGAGAGAGAGAGAGAACGCAAGCACGACTAGGACAAGTGTCTACAAAGAACGAGGTGACAAAAAGTACACCAGTGCTCCTTGGCCATAATACTAGTGAAATTTATCACATTTCATTTTTAATTGCTTTGCTGAATGCTGAATAGGTACTTTGCATGCATTTAATTCTTTCTCAACCTTATTAGGTAGAAATGATTATTCCTATTTTATGGATGAGCAAACTGAGGCTTTGTAATAGTAAGTAATTTTCAAGGTCACACAGCAAAGCTGAGTTTCAGATCTAGGTTTTCCTGACCCCAAAGAGCACGCCACTAGTTCTCTTAAGAAATAGGGGGCATCGCTGTCACTTGGCATCCGCCTCTTCAGCTTGAAGCAGTCTCTTCCCCCTTCCCTCTCATTTGGTTTGTGTTTCTGCTGGGTGGGCTATAGTGCTTTTCTAACTTAACCAGATGATAACCCCCCAACCCGCTGAACCCAGACCCCCCATGTCTGAGTCTCCAGGGGTGGGTCTTGGGAAGCTGAGAAGCTCCTTTGGAGACTTTTATTATCAGGGTTATCAGAGAAGTTCGGGAACGTGTGACTTTGCCTGACTTTCCGAGTGTTCCTTATTCATTTTGCCTTCTAGTGCCTGAGGTTGCAGGAGGCAGGGAACAGGTGTGGGTTTGTGCAGCAGGTGGTGATCTTTTGACTCTTTCCAAGGCCTGTGATCTCCTTAGCGATTCCAGCCCGCCAAGACCGGAATACAGCCAACGGGAGCAGAAGGAAGCATAAGAAAACAGGATTCCCTGACCGGCTTCCTCTCCACAGCTGCTGCTCCCACTCTCGGGGCCTGCAGGGTGAAAGGGTGCTAACCACAGCAGCTATAAAGTACTGGAGGAAGTAAACCCCACTGGGTTCAGAGTCAGCCATTTTCTGCTGAAAACCTGACCATCGAGCGGAGTTTTGTATCCACCAGATAAATTCCCCCCCTTGTCCCCACTGTCCCCTCCTCCTCAGATCATATATGAGCTGCGATCTTGCTGGCCGCCTCTAAACTTGAGGCCAAGTTCAACACAGATGAACGTGCATCTGTGGTCTGCAGCGTATGCAGCCTGCAGGCCTAACACTCAGCCAGGGCGTTGGTCACGTGAGCGCCATGCAAAACCCAATCCCACTGAGCTTGAGTCCAAATGGGATTTCGGGGCCTCAGAGATTCAGCAGCATCATCACTTTCTGTTATAGGATGATTTTTTTCTAGGTACTTCCATGACCAATGAGTTAAATAAATTCCTTTTTCTCAGAGCACTTAAAAATTTTAGTCATGGTCGTCCCATTTGGCCGAGTCTTCCTTTATCACCTGCCTTCAGTGCCCGGCTCAAATTCGGTCAACCAGTCAATCAATGACAGTGTTGGGTGCTGATTTTCTTCTCTGGTTGACACTGAGCAAGCATGAGAGAGTCAACGCTCTGAGATATGGCTCTTGCCCTCAAGGAGTTAGGAAAACAGACATACTCTGGTAACCAAACGCAGAGTCAAACAGAAGAGACAGAGCTTTAATTAAATGCATCCTGATGTCGCCCTTCTCTGTAGGGACAGAGCCCAGCCACACAGAAGTCACCTGAGCATTAGTTCTGCCATCTAAGTTGGCAAGGCAGCATCTCTCTCTCTTTCTCTCTCTCTCCCTTTTTTTCTAGCTCCGATGGCATGATGGGAGATTAGACTCGGAGGATTCCATTAAAGTGCAGAGAGCACAAGTTCTGAGGCTGGAGCTTTATATCTTAAATGCCCAGCAGCAGCAGAAGGGCTGGGAAAGACACGGAATTGCAAGCAACGGCCTCTGATCACACGGGTGCAACGTGTCACGAGGGAAAGAACGAGAGCTGGGGAATGCTTCTGCCATAATGTTCGACAAAAACAGCAGGATATAAAATTATACAGCGTGTATGAAAACAACTAGAAACAACCAAGTAAAACAAATTGCAATGCAGAGAGTCATGTTTCGAATTGAAGAATGGCACCAAGATGGTGGCCCTAGTGGGCTCTGGGTATGGGGACCGTTGTGACCAATGTTTTTTATTTCCTCTACTTTTGGGCATTTTCCAAAAATATGTGTAATAAGCATTTAATCTTTCTTAAATGAAAAAAGAGCTGCGTTTAGATGCTGGCATTGGCACCTAGTGGTTGAGAGGCTAGGGAAGGCAGAGACACGTTGTAATCACAGAAGCATTTCGTGGACTAGCAGAGTCACTGGGCTGCTTTGGAGTACAGTTTCCTGGCAGGGACGATGCTAATTGTCCCTTCATAGGACTGTTTACAACGACTACCTTAGTACTCAGGCAGGACCGGCAGGTGAATCAATGGATGTATTTTTGGTAAAAGGTACCACAAAAATACCAGTTCCTAATCTTATCATCATTTATTAACACCCTATCCAGTGATTATTTCTTGTACCTTCAGACTCCACAATAAGGACTTACTTACCCACTCTGCCTTGGTTGGTTTGTTTGACCCCAGTGGGGACAGAACCCAAAAAGGAAATGTCATGTCTTAAAGATCAAAAGATCACAGATCTATTAGATCTTTTAGATCAAAGATCAAAGATCATAATCCTGGAGATTATGGTTACAAACTGCCCAGAGAGGGAGCTTGAGGTCTGGAGAGAAGAATTTGCTGCCTGGGGTCACACAGCACATCAGTAAGCAGTGATAAAACAAGGCTGTTTGAGGCTTGAAAGCCATACTAAAGCACATCAAACAAAATAATAAAACCAGGATTATCTGGACCACTTTGAAGACTGCCAGTTGTTAATTCCACGCCTTCTGCGTCTGGGCTGGGTCACTTTTGCTGGGGGGCAGGGGCCTGT